TCCCAGTTTGGAGGAACAATCTGCCAGCCTCCTCTCTGCGCGATGTTAATTGATTTGTTTTCTTTGCTCCAATAATTCTTTCCTTGTCAGCACTTTCTTCTCCCCCCGTCTTTCCTGGCTTGTCCCATTCTGAGGCCAAAAATGGCCCACGACCCAGATTGCTGGGCCCCTGGCCAGAATCACTTCCTCAGGTTCCTTTTCCTCCCCACTGGGTGACACCACCAACAGGGCCTTAGCTGTAGCTAAGGGCTGTCATGGAGAGGCGACCCTGTGCCCAGGGGCCTCATTCTGTACGGGGGTACCAACACCCATGCTCTAGGCTGAAGGGCAAAGATGAGGACTGGGTCCTGCCAGGCTGCACAGCCGCCCCACCTGGAGGGAGACGCAGACTCACAGACAGAACCCTAGGAATGTTAAACTGGAGCACATGAATGCATGAGATGCTGGGGAAGGAGCAGGTGAGGGATGAGGAGAACTCTGTTGGAGGATGTGTATCATGGAGGTCTTCCTGGAGGAGGTGACCTTCAAAATTAGCTGTGCCAGATGAAGAGGTATTGGAGAAGCAGTGGAAAAGAAGGAGGATGTCCCATCATAAAAGCAGGCTAAACTCATGCTGGGGCATCCACAAAGCAGGGACACCAAAAATAAAAGAGAAACATTCAGCTTTATTGAAGTTGCCCAGAATTCAGGACTCAGAAAATTTCAAAATTTTTCATTTTATCACAAATGGATTTTGTGACATTTAAAAAATCTGGAAATCTGATTCTTCTTTGCCAGGGGTGAGGTCAGGGGGGGTCTCAGTCTTGCTGTGCATTCCAGCCAGAGGGAACAGTATGCAGAGCTTGGGGGGACGTGAACAGTCTCAGCAGGGACCCCCATCGGTTTGTCTTCAGTCCTGCTGGCCTCTCTGCCTGAGAACCCCCTACCCCAGGTTTGGATCAAATTTTTGTTTATTCTTCAAAGCTCATCTGGGCGTCACCTCTTCCCAAAGCCCTCCTTTTGTTCTGCATTTGGATCTGACATCCCCTGCTCTGCTCCCATAAACCCTGGGCAACGTAAATCCTTGCTTGACCCTGAGGCTTTTAACCATGGAGGAATGAATGAATGAATGAACCTTCACTGACATGTGAAAATTTGAGTGGTGAACAAGAATAAGTGAATGAGATTATTTATGATTTCTTCTCCCCAGGCTACTTAAGCATCCCCAGGGATGCTTTCTGCCCAGAGAAGAAGGGCAAGCAAACAGTTCCCTGAGGAGTCACAGAGTGAGCCGGAATTGCTCATTCAAGCATGCATGTGTGCATTCTTTTAAGTATCCTGCAGGCCTGGGTTGACCCACAGCTCGGGGTCAGGCATGTGCTGGATGCTGGAGGGAGCAAAAGGAGTTCAGTCCCTACCCCTGTGATCAGGGGACATAGGACCTCCCCCACCTCCTGGCTCTTTCCCTCAAACCCAGAACCCCAGCATCAGCATGAGAAAAACAGCAGACAAACCCAAACGGAGGCACAACTACAAAACATCCGGCCAGTCCTCCTCAACACTTCCAAGGTCATCCACAACAAGGGAAGTCTGAGAAAATGTCGCAGCCTACAGGAGCCCAAGGAGGAGTGACAGCCAAGTGTCACGCGGGAGCCCGGCACAGGGACAGAGAAAGACATCAGTGGGAAAGCGGGAGACGTGTAGCGTGTGGTTTAGATACCACCAACGTGTCGATGTTGGGTCCTTATTGTGACAAATGTATAATGTTGATGTCGGCTGTTAATAGTCGAGGAAGCAGGGTATGCTTTGTATGGGAACATGCTGTACTATCTTTGCAACTTTTCCATCCATCTAAAACTGTTTGGGACTTCCCTGGCTGTCCAGTGGTTAAGACTTTGCCTTCCAATGTAGGGGGTGCAGGTTCAATCCCTGGTTGGGGAGCTAATATGATCCCACATGCCTAAAACAGAAGCACCATTGTACCAAATTCAACACAGACTGTAAAAATGGTGCACATCAAAAAAAGTCTTCAAAAAAAATCAAACTTTTCTAAACTAAAAAGTCTACTTCAAATTAAAACAAAATCCCAACCCTTCTGCTTAAAACCAACTGCTATTAATAAGCCCCTGTGTTTCTTTGCTTTCTCTTTTTTAAAAACAGAGTTGTAACTGACAAGTAATATTAGTTTCAGGTGTGCAACATGATATTTGTTTGCATTGTGAAATGATAACCACAACAATTCTAGGTGATGTTGGTCACCATACATAGTTACAGAATTCTTTTGTGTGATGAAGCTTTTAAGATCTACTCTCTTAGCAACTTTCAAATGTGCAGTAGAGTTTTGTTGGTTATTCTCAGCATGCCACACATCCTGTCCCAGGGCTTCTTCATCTTATAACCAGACGTTTGTACCTTTCGACCCCACCCACCCATTTTGCCCATCCCCAATGACCTCTGCTACCACCTGTCTCTTCTCTGTTTCTATGAGCTTGGTTTTGTTTTTGTTTTTCCTTTTTCTTTTTGATTCCACATATGAGTGAGATCCCCCAGTATTTGCTTTCTCCATCTGATTTACTGCACTTAGCACAATGCCCTCCAGGTCTATCCATGTTGTCGCAAATGGCAAGTTTCATTCTTGTTTATGGCTGAGTAATGATCCTTCCACCCTTCTTTCTATGCATTTTCCACTGACAAAATTACACTTACTTTTCTGCACCTACCATGACAAAACTATTATATACTTCCTTACAATTTTGTCCATGGGAAATGCACAGAAACTGAACTTGCTTATAATGTCCTGCTCTTTTTTGTGAGTGCATTAGTTCTCCTGTCACTAAACACCATGGAAACATCTGTACACACTCTCTGACTCCATTTAACATCTCCGCCACCCGCTCCTATTTTTCTTGCATGTAAACCACACCATGAAGAGTACATCTCTGAGCACATGTGCCCACCTTTCAGGGATCAGAGTCAGCAAGGGATCAGGCTCCGTGGCCCTCCGTTCGCTGGGGGCACAGAAGCCTTTGTGCTGAAGGAGGTGAATGACCTCACTCAGGAGCTCAGTAAGGTTTCCTTGGAAAGAAGGAACAAACTGATATATCCCTTGTTGACAAGAAACAGGAGTTTTGCGCAGCTCATTGATTTATGCGCCATGTGCTTAGTTGTCTTCCAGAGGCATGTCCGGGTTTGGGAAAATCATTCTGGGGGCGACTCATCATGCTTTGCCCTCCCAGAAAAGCTGAGCTCATCTTGGTCCAGGCTAGTCCCACCCAGGCTGCCAGCTCCAGCCCAGCTAAAACCCCGTGCTGCGTGGAATCGCCACTGACCCTGGCCCTATCCAGCACGGCTCTGTGACCCCAGCAGCTTGCCTGTCCTCAGTCTCCCCACCTGCCGAGCAGAGGAGACAGCAACACGGTGACAGTCACCACGCAGAATCGTAATACAGACCGGCTGGTCGCGTTCGTATTAGACCTCCATGGTGGGCACCCTGTCATTCCCCATTTCAGACAAGGAGACTGAGGCACAGAGGGTACTGGTCACACAGACATGGAATCTGAGCTGGGTCATCCAAAGATGGAGTGTGTGTCCCCAGCCCCCTGCTCCACCAACACATAGTTCATTCATCATTCCCTCATTCACCCATTCCCTCATTCATTCATCCATTCCCTCATTCATTCATTTATTCCCTCATTCATTCATTCCCTCATTCATTCACTCCCTCATTCGTTCAGTCCCTCATTCGCTCACTCCCTCATTCATCCTATGGGTGGAATGCCCAGGCCCTGCGGGGGTGGGGAGGGGAGGGGAGGGCGTCAGTTGTAACCTCCACAGATGTCCCCCTGACCCGACAGGGCCCCAGTCCCCATGCAGGAGGCTCTTCCACGAAATGGGGTGAGTGTGTTGTAGACGAGTCCTGGGTCCGCAGCGGCATTGCAGCAGGAGCTCCAACCAGCCTGGGGAGGAAGGCCGTCCCAGGGTGTGCTCCGAGGCGGGAAGGGGCAGGGGCAGGGGTGTGGACCACGGCAGGCAAGGGCAGGCCGCACATGAGGCTGGGAGGGAGGCGGCCCCGGAGGGTCCTAGGATCCCCATACGGGGTCGGCACCTCCTGGGGCTGTGAAGAACTGTGAAGGTTCTACAAGGTCCGTATGTAGGAGAGTCCCCCGGCTTCCGTGTGGGGAATGGATCTTCTGATGAAGCAGGAGGCGGAACCACAGTGCTGGGGGCGGGGGGTGGGGTGGGGGAGGGCAGGACCACATGGCTCCCAGCCCCTGCACTCTGTGTTTCCGGGTGCTCCTGGCGCTGACTCAGCCCATCGGCTGATCAACCATCTCTGGCACCAGGAGCACGCGGGGCCCTGTTGTTCTGCCGAGCGGCCCCAGGGCTGCCCTGTTCTGACCCTTGGCCGCCCTTTCCTGACCTTTCTGTGACACGGGGGACACTGCTCATACACAGCCCGGCAGGGCTTGTACCTGTGAGAAGAGGAACCTGGAGGGAAGGCAAATGTGAAGGGACCTCGGGTGTGGGGGGCTGGGGGTGCACATGGTGGGGCTGTCCCTCTTCCTCTCAGGGGACGCCTTGCCATCAATTTCACGTCGGAGTGGAGTCGGGGCCACTCTCAGTCGTATGCATCTCCCGGCATCTCCAGCGATTCGATGCTGGGCTTGAGGGCAGGGAGCGAAAACGGAGGGTAGGCTCCGACTCCACCCCGAAGCCTCCAGCCAGGACGAGGCAGCCTCCCACACGGCCCCTGCTCCGGGCGCTCTTCACAGTAAGCCTCCTCCTGGCACTCCCCACCCCCTGCCCCGGCCCTTGCAGAGCTCTCACTGGACGAGTCAGTGGCCTGGGGCGGCCGTGACAGAGTTCCACGTACAGGGCAGGAATCTGCCATCCGGGCTCTGCAGGCCGGAAGTCTGGAGTCAGGTGTCTGCTGGGCGGGTTGCCCCTGTGGGCTGCGGGGAGCCGGCTGCAGGCAGCAGCCCCCCGGCGTGTAGACGCATCTCCTGACCCGTGTCTTTCAGATCATCCTCGTGAGCTCCTCACTCAGCGACCGGGACCAGAGCCTGTTCCTCAGTGCCGACGAGGGTGCCACCTTCCAGAAGCAGCTTGTCCCCTTCTCCGTGGAGACACTCCTCTTCCACCCCCGGGAGGAGGACAAGGTGCTGGCCTACACCAAGGAGGGCAAGGTGAGCCGCCGGGCATCTGCCGGGCATCCGCGAGGATGGGAGCCTCACGTCACCTGGGGCCCCGGAGCCCTGGGCGGCAGCAGGGCTCCCCGGGGCTGGGGTCGGAGACCCCATCACCCCCTGCTCCCCAGGGCTGAGGTTGGGGACCCCCTCATCCCCTGCTCCCCGGGGCTGGGGTCGGGGACCCCATCACCCCTTGCTCCCCAAGGCTGAGTGGTCAGGTACCCCTCGGGACCTCGTGGGTTCAAGTGAGAGCCGGTGGGTGGAGGTGAGGTACAACAGGCTCACGAGACAGCCGAAGGGCGGTGGATAATTAAGAGGACCCTCCACTCTGACCCCCAGCACACTCCAGCCGTGGGGCCTCCCTCCACTTCCAGAACAGTCCACACACCCTCCCACCCCAGGCCCTTCCCTCCGCTTGGAAGCATCTTCCACCTTCACCAGGAGAGGGAATCATCCTTCTGACCCCAAGCCAGCATCCTCTCCTGAGGGCAGTCCAGCAGGGCCTCAGGAGCCCAGGGCACCTTCACGGGTGATTGAGGAGTGCGCTGTGAGGGGCTTTCTCCAGGGCCAGCGTGGGTGTGGTAGGAGGCCCCGGAGCTGGGAGGGGCGGTCTGAGGGCCCCTGGAGGAGGGGCCGCCTGCCTGGAGGAGAGGCCTGGGTCAGGTTCCTGCAGACACCATAAGGAATGATCACAAACTTGGCAGCTTGAGACAACAGAGGTGTATTGGCCAAAGGCCCCAAATCAGTTTCATGAGGCCAAAGCCAGGGCATCTGTGGGGTGACTCTCCCCCAGAGGCTCCGGGGGGGTCTTTCCCTCGCCTCCACCAGCTTCTGATGAGTCACACCGAGCTTCAAAGGCAGCATCTTCAACTCATCCTGCTCCATCTTCACGTTGCGGTGTGTGTGTGTGTGTGTGTGTGTGTGTGTGTGTAAGTTCCCTAAGCATCCCATCTAAGCATCCAGACCAAGCTTCCCATCTAAGCATCTTCACTGAATTGACCATGAAGTCCTTTTTCAGTCCATCAGGTCCCTTTCACAAGTACCAGGGATTATGACACAGATATTTTGAGGGGGACCTTGTCAGCCAACCACCCTGCCCGATAGGAGGCCTGAAGCCCTGTCATAACGAAAGGGCTGAGGAGGAGGCTGGCGCTGGGGAGAGTCACTCATCCCCGAGAAATTCTGTGGTTGGGTAGTCAGAGAACAGGAGTCATGGTTCCCGTCTCTCTCCTCCTGTCCTGTTTCCTGTGATCTGAATCCCACCAGAAGCCAGGGAGAGGGGGCCTGTGGATGCCACCCACACAGGGCAGCTCCCAGGGTTGGAAGAGGGTGGAAAAGGCAGAAACTGGGTCTGGAGCAGACAGAAGCTATCTGGATCAGAAGCTTCCTTGGGTGCCCCCAGACCTGCCTGGGATTCACCATTCCACACTCTTCCAGATTCCAGTAACTCTCTTTCCCAGGAAGGGTCACAATGCATGATTATATATTCGTGCATTGTCTGCATTTGTGCATATTTGATTATTGTCTGTACCTTACACACACCCTTGGGGTAAGCTCCTTGAGGGTGGGGCTATGCCTGGCTTTTTTTTTTTTTCACAATTTTATCTCAAGTTCCTGGCTGGAAATATTGAATGAGGGATGGAAGGAAGGATGAGGGATGGGTGAATGAATGGATGGGTGGGTGGATGGAAGAATGGATGGATGGGTGGATGGGTGGATGAGTGGATTGGTGGATGGATGGATGAGTGGATGAGCGGATAGATGGATGGGTGTGTGGGTAGATGGCAGGTGGATGGATAGGTGGATGGATGGAAGGATGGATGCATAGGGGTAGATGGATGGTGGATGGGTGGATGGGTGGATGGATGGGTAGGTGGATGGGTGGATAAGTCAACGGATGGGTGGATGGATGGGTGGGTGGGTGGGAAGATGGAAGGTGGATGGATAGATGTACGGATGGAAGCATAGATGCATAGGGATAGATGGATGGTGGGTGAGTGAATGGATGGGTGGGTGAATGGATAGGTGGATGGGAGGGTGGATGCATAGTGGTGGATGAATTATGGATGGTGGGTAAGATGGATGGAAGGATGGATAGGTGAATGGATGAGTGGATGGGTGGATGGATGGGTGGATGGATGGAAGGATGGATGCATAGTGGTGGATGGATGGTGGGTGGATGGAAGGATGGATACATGGGGGTGGATGGATGATGTAGATGCATCGATGGCAGCTGGATGAATGAATGAATGAATTTGTACCAGCAGGGACCACCATGGTCAGGGACCTCCAAATGAAGCTTCCTGTCTGGCCTGAGCCATGGCTGTCTACAGGACCCGGCCTCCTTGCTGGTCCTCAATTTAGTGTGCCTGCTTTGATCTGGCATACGTCACACCCACTCACACGCCCCTGGCCAAAGCAAGTCTCGTGCCAAGACCTGGTCCTCGCTGACTGGCTAAAGTTCAGGACATCCCTGAAATTCCCTGGCCTGGTGGGCTGCCTCTGCTCTGGGTACTTTCCTTTGGGACAGCATGTGCTTTGGGGTATTAATAGTGCTACTTAGCTTTCCATGTAATTAGACTAAAGCACATCACAGAGACTTATTTTCCCACAGAAATCCACTGCATTGCAATTGCTCTTTAATTTATGGTGCCCTGAAAAATTAATGGAGCTGAAATCTCAGTTATTTTCTTTGGTTCTCTTCCGTGACTATCAGGAAAGAGAAAAGGGGAGAAGACAGGCTTCGTTGTGGTTGTAAAGGGAATGAGGAATTTGAGGACATCAATAACAGTGACAGCAGGGCTTTCGGCTTTTTAGGCTTCATGGTTTAGGAAGCTCGCTAACTCCCCAGAAGCAGGATGGCGTGGGCAGACAACGTTGACTTTGATGCCCACAGACCTGGTGTGTCAGGCAGGTGTCTGCTGCTCCAATGCTGAGTAGCACATAGCCCCAGAGCTCCACGGCTCCCCGCAGCAAACATTCTTTCTCATTTCCGCGTCTGTGAGTCAGCAGGGATCCTGGTGGGCTTGGCTGGGACTGGCTAGTCATGGCTCCTGGGCAGGGTTCAGGTCTCTAGTTCTGGAATCATTAGTTACTTGCGGACGTGGTAGTCACATGACAGAGGGGCAGAGGAAACCGCAGGAGGACCTTCACGTGTCTGCTTATACCTGGAAAGCATCACATCCCTTCCCATGGGCAGAGCAAGTCATGTGTCAAAATCCAAGGTTTGCAGGCTGGACGTCAATATCCGGTTCACAAGGACCCACAGATTTCTACAAAACCAAATGCCTTCCTCTGCTTTCTCCGCGTCCCTCCCAGCTCAGATGCCTGCCCCCTCCTCTAGCAGACAGACCATCTTCCCTGCTCAGACTGTCCTAACTCCCTACTTCTAGTTCCCCTCTTTACTGTGTCACTGAGGCTACCCTATTTGGATCCTGGACAGGCTCCCTGGGTGAGACCCAAAGGCAGTGGTTTTTCTTTCAAGGCTCAGCGAGTTGCATTAGGCTCCTGGGATCCAAAGGACATCAGAGCCGGACAGTCTGTGCCCTGTGCCAGCTTGCTAGGGACCCCTGCTCCGACACTGACCAGTCTGTTTCCTCCTGCTCAAACCTCAGACCCACTCGCAGACAGGGCCCTGGGCACTCAACCTCTAAAACATCGATAGACCCACTTGTATGTTTTATTCTGCTTCCTGACAAGAACCTCTTCACTTCCCAGCACTGTGAGAAATTGGTCTGAGCATGAGACTTCCTTCCAGAAACTTCAGTTCAGTCGCTCAGTCATGTCCGACTCTTTGCGACCCCTTGGACTGCAGCATACCAGGCCTCCCTGTCCATCACCAACTCCCAGAGTTTACTCAAACTCATGTCCATTGAGTGGGTGATGCCATCATTCTCTGTCGTCCCCTTCTCCTCCCGCCTTCAATCTTTCCCAGCAGCAGGGTCTTTTCCAATGATTCAGCTCTTCGCATCAGGTGGCCAGAGTGTTGGAGTTTCAGCTTCAGCATCAGTCCGTCCGATGAACACCCAGGATTGGTCTCCTTTCGGATGGACAACTTGGTAGAGGAGAAAAGACACCTTGGGTGGACAATCAGGGAAGCCTGCCTGGAGGAGGGGTGTTGAACAGGGGCTCAGAGAATAAGTCAGGATGTAAGTTTGCTTTTTAAAAGAACTTCCAAGCAGCAAAGATGATCACACAGGAAAAGAAAGAAGAAAGAACCCCGGTAACCCTCCACGGGTCGGTGGTGGGGCAGACAAGAGCTCTGCTAAGAAGGGGTGAGGGGCTCTGCGGTCAGGAGAACAGCTTTGAGCAGTGAGAATCTTACAGCTCAGAGCGTGTTCGTTTTTGCTCCGACCTTTGTGTCTGACGGGGCTCAAGCAGAAAAGGGACCTCCCTCTGGATATTTTAAGTAGAAAAAGGATTTAGGATTTGGGACGATTGGGTCCTCTCTAAACTGCCAGGAGGCTGGAAGGGGGGCTTCAGACCAGACTTCCGAGGATTCTCCCAGAAGCCTGAGGATCTGGACCAGCAGGGGAAGGTGGGGGACCAGGAGCTCTGCCGGGGTCACCAAGGTCAAGAACACGCAGCTGATGCTGGGGTCGAGGCATCCGAAACCATCACTGCTGCAGCCCACACTGCCTGGGGATGCCCACAAAGCCAGAGACTGGTCCTGCGGCTGCCTCCACCACAACTGCCCCTCCAGCCTCCAGAACTGGAGGATGGGTGCCAAGCACATCCCCATGACCTGGTTGGCCAGCAAAACAGAGTTACCACATGATCCGGCAATCCCACTCCCTGGGCATATATCCAGAGAACACCATAATTTGAAAAGACACATGCACCCCAATGCTCCCTACAGGACTGTTTACAGTAGCCAGGACACAGAAATGACCTACATGTCCATCAGCAGAGGAATGGATGGAGGAGACGTGGTCTATGTGTACAGTAGGATATTACTCAGCAATAAAAGAGAATGACATAATGCCATGTGCAAAAACATGGATGGACCTAGAGATTATCATACGAAGTAAGCCAGACAAAGACAAATACCATATGACAGCACTTGTATGTGGAATCTAAAAATAAAGATACGAATAAACCTATTTACAAAGCAGAAATACACCCACAGACATAGAAAAGAAACTTATGGTTACTGAAGGGGGAAAAATAAATTAGGAGGTTGGGATCAACATATAGACACTGCATGCATGCGTGCGGAGTCGCTTCAGTCGTGTCCGACTCTTTGCGACCCTATAGACTGTAGCCCACCAGGCTCCTCTGTCCATGGGGTTCTCCAGGCAAGAATACTGGAGTGGGTTGCCATGCCCATCTCCATGGGATCTTCCTTGCCCAGGGATCAAAGCCATGTCTCTTACGCTTCCTGCATTGGCAGGTGGGTTCATTACCACTAGCGCCACCTGGGAAGCCTAACATCTATACATTACTATATATAAAATAAACAAGAAGAAACGACTGTATAGTTTCTAACTATACTAACTACTGTATACTAACCACTGTATAGTACAGGGAACTATACTCAGCATTTTGTAATAACTTATAAGGAAAAGAACCTGAAAAGTAAAGAACATATATATATATATATATCATATACATATTATTTATTATATATTATTATATACATTGGGCTTCTCTGGTGGCTCAGCTGGTAACAAATCTGCCTGCAATGCGAGAGACCTGGGTTCGATTTCCTGGGTTGGGAAGATCTCCTGGAGAAGGGAAAGGGAATGTTATAAAAAATTATATACATTATTTATAAACAAATCATATATGTATATATATATAAATTACTGCATTGTACACCTGACACGAACATGACATTGTACATCAGTTTCAATAAGTGGATGGCCAAGGCTGCAGGGAACTGATTCCATGGCACTTTGGCCTTCCAAACCTCGCACGACTGCGTCTGTCTGACCCAGAATTCTAGCTACGAGAGTCTGATCGATGCTGGATTTCAGCTTTGCAGCCTCTGCGGCATGACTAGGTACCCTACAGCAAGGGAGAAAAGGATGCTGAGTGTCAACCGTATGTCCAACCTGCCGCTGAACGCCGGGTGGAATTGCCGTGCTTCTGAGAATTGCGTGAGACCCCCTGGCACACGTGTCCGCGGACGCACCTTCCCTCCGTCCTGCTCCCCTCCTCCTCCTCTATCTCTCCCTCGTTCTGACTCCCGGTCTGTTTATCTTTACACCAGAGTGGCACACGTGCGGCAGCACATCATCCCACTCCTTTCTGTGGAGCATCCGTCTAGAGTAAGCCCGCTCGTCCCCAGGATGCTACCATGCAGGTTTTAGCTGTGGTGATTAGGATGTCCCTGATGTGTTTATTCTTGTGGAGTCACTGGTATTGGTCTTTCACTCAGCAGAAATGTTCTATTTCTGCAGCGACTGGTTGTGCACTATGAAATCACCTCCCACGGGAGCAAATTGGAAAGGCTTCAGGAAGTTCCGGGCGGGTATCGTAAACACAGAAGCATCGGCAGTGATGGAAACAAGCCCACCACCCATTAAGCTGGGGGTGTCATAACCTGCACCCAGAAACTGATGGCTACCATCTCCTTTTTCTCTCACTTACCCTTGGACTGCAGGGAGTTCCAACCAGTCCACCCTAAAGGAGATCAGTCCTGGGTGTTCATTGGAAGGACTGATGTTGAAGCTGAAACTCCAATCCTTTGGCCACCTGATGCGAAGAGCTGACTCATGGAAAAGACCCTGATGCTGGGAAGGATTGGGGGCAGGAGGAGAAAGGGACAAGAGGATGAGATGGTTGGATAGCATCACTGACTCAATGGACATGGGTTTGGGTAGACTCTGGGAGTTGGTGATGGACAGGGAGGCCTGGCATGCTGTGGTTCATGGAGTGGCAAAGAGTCAGACATGACTGAGCGACTGAACTGAACTGAACTGACATCGCCTGAGGATCTGAGCCAAGCTCTTTCAATATGCAGAGGGGTGAAGGGAGACTGCCCTCAGGGAGAGGAGTCAGTCCAGGGGCAGGAGAGGGGAAGAGGGCTGTTCCAGGTGGAGGGAACAGCATGTGTGCAGGCCTAGAGGCAAGAGAGAGGAAAGGGATGGACCCAGGAAAGAGTGAGAGTTGATCATAATGGGAGCCTGTGGAGGAAGTTGTGAAAGGGCCTCTGGTTCTAGGTGGCCCAGAGCTGGGAAGCCCCGGAGGGGCAGCTGGGGAGGCACCAAGTGGCAGACAGACCAAGATGCAGACTCTCAGCCTCTTTGGGTAAGAAGACTTCACAGACCCGGCGTTTTCTCCCTGCAGGGGAGAGCAGGCGAGAGTAGCTGAGCAGCTCCAGGTTTTGTTGACGAAAAAGGAGCAGGCTTCCCTGGTGGCTCCGTGGTAGACAAGCCACTTGCCCATGCAGGGGACCCAGGTTCAATCCCTGGTCAGGGAAGATGCCACGTGCCGTGAGGACTAAGCCTGCGCACCACACCTGTTGAGCTTGTGCTCCAGAGACCAGGAACCGAAACTGCAGAGCTCACGCGTCACAACCACTGAAGCCCCTGCACGCGAGAGCCCGTGCTCCGCAGCAAGAGAAGCCCCGCATCACACCTGGAGAGTGGCCCCTGCTCGCTGCAACTAAATAAAAGCCCAGGCAGCAACAAAGCCCCAGCCAAAAATAAATAAATAAAATTATTTTTTTTAATGTACTAAAAACTTAAAGACAGTTAAAAAATAACTGAAGTAGTCAATCTTTAAAAAAAAAAAAAGGAATAAGTGTTCATGATTGTCGCCAGGGTCACAGCGTGTCCGTCAGACGACTGTTCAGAGTGACTCTCTAGAAGCTCTTGGTGATGTTCACGGCGGGGACGGCCACACTGAAGTGGGGCGTCTTCTCACAAGTCCCCGGGGTTAGGAGATGCTCCTGGCAAGGAGGAAGCACTTGTGCGGGAGCTTGTCTGCTCTTTCGTGGCTGCGGGGAAGATAGAGGGGACGTTTTCCGGAAGTTTCTCTCCCAGACAGTTGTGGGATCTGCAGTGCTCAGGGCCATTGTTGGCAAGGGGGCGAGGAGGTCCAGACACCCAGACTGACAGTGTGGGCAGACCCAGGACGGATCAGCATCGAGGGGCCAGGTGGGTGTGGGGTGCTCGCTCCTGTGGTCTCCGCCCCGCCCTGGGCAGCTCTGTCCAGGAGAATGGTGGGCCCGACACTCCCCCCAGGGACCCCGAGCCCCACGTCAGCTCATTGTTCCACCTGCTTCACTCAGGAGACTCAAGTTCAGAGATGAAAGGATGAGGTCTTTGGAGTCAGTGATTGCACAGCACTGAACCCTAAGCGCAGGCCCTGGGTCACTACAGCGGTCGAGGCCCCAGCCAGCCTGCAGAGGGGGCGCAGCTGCTTCCTGCGCTGACCCGCTCTCCCTTCCCGCCCCTTCTCCCCAGCGCCCACCCGCCACGAGAGCTTAAGGGATGTTCAGGTCCCTCCCACATGCCTGCACTCGGGACACACCGCGCCCAGGACACCTGCCACACACATCCCCCCCCACCCGCCATCTCTAGGGTCCTCCCAGCCGGCCTGGGGTCAAGAACAGCTCTGTGTGGAGTTCCCACCTGACCTTCGGCCTCTTGGAGGCTGGTCTGAGCCACCTAGAGCGCAGGGCCTGCCCTCCCCGCTCCTCCACCGGGCTGAGCAAGACCCACCTCCCCGGGGCGCTCGGCGTCCAGGGCAGACGGGCCTCAGTCATAACCAGACCTTCCTCTCTGCTCCTTCTGCCCTAAAGCTCTACGCGTCGTCCGACCTGGGGAGGAAGTGGACCCTTCTGCAGGAGCGAGTGACCAAAGACCACGTGTTCTGGTGAGCGCGCCCTCGCGGGACCTGGAGAGCCCCCCACCCCGAGAGGCCAAGTCAGCGCCCTGGGCCCCCAGCCCTGCCCTCCTCACCCCAGGGGGGCCTCCAGGGCACCCTCTCTGCTCTGCTGGGCGGTGTCAGAAACGGCCGCGGGCTGGGGCTCCGCCTCCCCAGGCCACGTGTGTTTGTTTCCGTGTGAGTCTCCCTCTCCCGACCTCCGCTTCCTCGACAGTAGACCGGCGCGCTAATGCCCATAACGCTGGCACAGTCCCCACGCACGGCAGGCCCCCTGCCCCCTCCCTCCTCCCTCCTCCCCTCTGCCCCTCCCTCCTCCCCTCTGCCCCCTCCCTCCTCCCCTCTGCCCCTCCCTCCTCCCCTCTGCCCCCTCCCTCCTCCCCTCTGCCCCTCCCTCCTCCCCTCTGCCCCCTCCCTCCTCCCCTCTGCCCCTCCCTCCTCCCCTCTGCCCCCTCCCTCCTCCCCTCTGCCCCCTCCCTCCTCCCCTCTGCCCCCTCCCTCCTCCCCTCTGCCCCCTCCCTCCTCCCCTCTGCCCCCTCCCTCCTCCCCTCTGCCCCTCCCTCCTCCCCTCTGCCCCTCCCTCCTCCCCTCTGCCCCCTCCCTCCTCCCCTCTGCCCCCTCCCTCCTCCCCTCTGCCCCTCCCTCCTCCCCTCTGCCCCTCCCTCCTCCCCTCTGCCCCTCCCTCCTCCCCTCTGCCCCCTCCCTCCTCCCCTCTGCCCCTCCCTCCTCCCCTCTGCCCCTCCCTCCTCCCCTCTGCCCCCTCCCTCCTCCCCTCTGCCCCCTCCCTCCTCCCCTCTGCCCCTCCCTCCTCCCCTCTGCCCCCTCCCTCCTCCCCTCTGCCCCTCCCTCCTCCCCTCTGCCCCCTCCCTCCTCCCCTCTGCCCCCTCCCACTGCCTCCCCTGACTCTCCCTTCTCCCCTTTCCCCCTTCCCCCCACCCCCCACACCCCCCCCCCCGCCCCGGTCCTGACTCAGCCCCTGACTCACTGCCTGGCGTGCAGCCCCGGCCCCCTCCCCATTTCTGGCATCTCTTGGGAGCTGATCAAAATCGATCTGCCTAGGTAGGACTCTAGTCTCACTGCCCCAGTGAGGGGGCTCCGGTGCTCAGGAAATGCCTGTTGGATGAGCGCGCGAGTGAGGCCCACGGGGGATGAGACTTGGCCGAGGTCCGCGGGCAGAGGAAGGGGAAGCCTCCGAGCTTGGAACTCCCGCGGCCTCTAGAGGTGCACAGAGAGACAAGCTCTCTACCAAGCTGTGACTCCCGAGTGTGGACGCGTGCGCACACACACTCGTGTTCTCTGCTTCGCATCTCGTTCGGGCCACACACTAACGCATGGACTCCCGCCAGGCCACAGTCCTGTCTCCGCAGGACGGACACGAGGAGACAGCTCCCTGCCACCCGCCTGCCTCTTCAGTGTCTTCATGCCCGTCAGGACCCGGAACTAGCGGGCTGACACAGGGCCACAGGCCGCAGGAGGGAAGCCTCGGTCTCTCCCCTGGAACAATGGCCTGTCGGTGCGCCTTCCACCACATGGCTGCCCTCCAGAGGGCCCGGGTCTTCCTCAGAAACTAGGGCACCAGTCTCGGGCCTTGTCCTTCCTGTCAACGTGGGCTCAAGGAAGTGGGGAGGGGTCAGGAGGAGGGGAGGGGTCAGGAGGAGGGGAGGGGTCAGGAGGAGGGGAGGGGTCAGGAGGGGGAGGGGTCAGGAGGAGGGGAGGGGCTAGGGGGAGGAGCCACGATTAGGGATGAGTCAGGAGGTGGGAGGGGTCAGGAGAAGGCGAGGGGCTAGGAAGAGGGAGGGTCAGGAGGGGAGGAGTAAGGAGGGGTTGGGGTCAGGAGTGGGGAGGGGTCAGGAGGAGGGAGGAGCCATGAGGAGGGAGGGGTCAGGAGGTGGGAAGGGTTAGGAGAAAGGGAGGGGCTAGAAGGTGGGAGGGATCAGGATGAGGGGAGGGGCTAGGAGGAGGGGAGGGGTCAGGAGGAGGGGAGGGGCTAGGGGGAGGGGAGGGGTCAGGAGGAGGGGAGGGGCTAGGGGGAGGAGCCACGATTAGGGATGAGTCAGGAGGTGGGAGGGGTCAGGAGGAGGGAGGGGCTAGGGGGAGGAGCCACGATTAGGGATGAGTCAGGAGGTGGGAGGGGTCAGGAGAAGGCGAGGGGCTAGGAAGAGGGAGGGTCAGGAGGGGAGGAGTAAGGAGCGGTTGGGGTCAGGAGTGGGGAGGGGTCAGGAGGTGGGAAGGGTTAGGAGAAGGGGAGGGGCTAGGAGGTGGGCGGGGTCATGAGGGGAAGGGACAGGGAGGGGGCGGTCTCTGAGCTGGTGCCCTAGGAGATTAGCAGAGCTGGCAGCTCCACTGATGCGTCCAGTCCCGGGGAGACATCTGGGGCCGCGGAGAGAAGTGGCCCACAGACACTGAAAGCAGAGCTGGTACTCATGCAGACACGTTGTTATCTCGGGCAAATCAAATGATTTTTTTCCCCAAGCTTCTGTCGTTGAAATGACAGCGGGAATTGCCAAAGCCCCATGTTCTAAGACCGTCATGTTTTGAGAAGCTTAAGCAAGTGAGCTCACTAGATTGACCTCCTGGGGCCAAGGCCAGGGACGGGGAGACCTACTGTGGGCCCGTGATGACGCTGGCTCGTCACCTCCCTGCTGGTCTCTCAACGCACTGGGGCAGAAGCATGACGGCCTCCCAGCGGCAGCCGCGTTGTGAACACTGACCGTCCACCAGGCCCCCACTGCGGGTCCAAGTGCATCATCTTATGAAATCCACACGAGAGCCCCGACTGTCTCCCCTTCATGATACGGAGGGGACGTGGGGAGAGGCCAGGGCACACGTCCTCAGTCACCCCGCCTGGAAGCAGCAGCCCTAGGCCACGGCTGCTTCTGCCTGTGGCCGGTGGCCCTGCCCCTGGCTGCTCTGCCAGGCCATCTGCTCTCCTGCATTCCCCAGGCATTTCCAAGTCGGCCTTGGCACTCCAACCCGAGTCCACCCATAAAGCCTCAGTCTTCCTCTTCCATGAGCGCCAGTGCCTGCCAGGTGGGGGGCAAGGGGCAGACCTCTGTCCTGAAGGGAGGTGAGGGGGTGACCGCTGCAGCCCTGGAGGGGGTGGTGGGCGTCTTTGAGGGCTTAGTGGGATTGTTTGCATCAGAGCTTCCCTTAGTAACTGTCAGCTCCCCAGGCTCCCAGAACTCTGGGCTTTTCCAGCAGCTTGCTCAGGCACAGGTCTTCTCAAGCGACTGCTGCTTCCAAACAGCAGACTGAGGGCCTTCCCCAGACACCAGCTTTGGGGACCTTGACAAACAAGAAGACCTAGGGGGCAACGCTTGTCCCTTCCCACAGGAAGCCAGGCTCCATCTGAGCTGTGTAAGTGCAGAGGTTCACGAGGTCTTTCAAGACCTGTGGTCTAGGGTTTCTAGGGGCAGGGACCTCGGGCTCACCGTGCTCCCAGCCTGTTGCTGGGCCTGGTGTGTGGGCCCGCTGGGAAGTGGCAGGAGAGAGACTCTGATGGAAAGGGAGAGAGGGAATGAATGGATGAATGAAAAGTGAGATAAATGAATGAGTGAATGAACGAGTGCATGAGAAAGTGAGTGAGTGAGTGAATGTGAGCAAGCGATAGGCCAGGTGTCATTACCCCATTCACAGATGATGGATGATCAAACTAAACTTCCCCTGCTGAGCCAAGGACCCGTCAGTGCTCCTGGTAAAGGGAACAATGTCTGACTTTATTCAGAAAAGAGAGGAAAATATCAGGCAGGAGACCTCCTTCCAAGGAGCTTACAGATAGCCTATTCACCAAACCTAAATCAACACTTCACCTTCCTCTCAAGACTGTCTGGAGGGTCAGAGTGATTGATGCTGGCTTCCCACACTGAAATGCCCTGACTGCACTTCCCACCACCCAGAGCTTCTGTGGATTTCCCGTGTCCAGCTGGGACCACCTGGTCCCTGGAGGAGACGAAGCACACAGGGACCCTGGTGCCAAGTTGCTGGGTGGCAAGTTGAGAAGTGGGGGGTCAGCTCCGGGCCAGGGGCTGTCAGCAGTGGGAGCTGAGTGCTCTGCGGGGACGTCTCACTGGCCTGGAGGGGCCGTGGGGATGCCTGTCCTGGGCGCTGAGTGGCGCCTCTGATGACCCTCGCTCTGATGCAGTGAGACTCTGCATCAGATTCTCAGTCTGCTCTTTGGCAAAGTAAATGTGCTGCGCCAGCCAGGTCAGTGTCTGTGAGAGGGTCAGCCTGGTAGACGCCTCTTGACTAGTCATATTGGCTGGAATGTACATTGTAACAAATGCAGTCAGCTCATCACACCCATGACCTCCTGGGTGTTCTCGCTTAAGAGATGGCTGAAGTACACAGAAGGTTCTAAAGGGAGTGGACAGATAGAAGGTGACCATCCAGTTGACACGTGGAACCAGTAGAATCTTGGAAACCCTGGACCACTTCACATCATCCCAAAGTGTCCTTTCACGTGAAAAACCTGCACTCCACCTCCTGGCTGCCCCGCTCTGGGCGGGCAGGGGCCAACACTGTCCTTGCCACCCATGGAGGACATAGCCCCAGTCTCTGTGTCCTCAGGACGTGCCATCCTCCTGTTCTTCTCAGCCCTCGCTGAGCACTCTGTTGTCCTCAGCCACGGTCCCCACAGTGTCCCTCTGATGTCTGAACCCCTGGACCAGTCGTGTCTAACTCTTTGCGACCCCCTGGACTGTATAGTCCTTGGAATTCTCCATGCCAGACTACTGGAGTGGGTGGCCTTTACCTTCTCCAGAGGATCTTCCCAACCCAGGGGTCGAACCCAGGTCTTCCGCATTGCAGACGGATTCTTTACCAGCTGAGCCACAAGAGAAGCCCAAGAATACTGAAGTGGGTAGCCTATCCCTTCTCCAGTGGATCTTCCCGACCCAGAAATCAAACCGGGGTCTCCTGCATTGCAGGCAGATTCTTTCCCAAGAGCTGTCAGGGAAGCCCCCAAACTAGAATGATATTTCCAGACATCTCAGGCCTCGTAAGATTCTTTCGATCATTAACACACAGACGCACACACACGTGCATACACACATGTACAGACATGGACGTACAAGTCTTCTCTAAACTACTGTAAATGGAAGAATGACCAGCAAGGCAGAGGTGGGGGCTCCGTCGGCCTCCCAAGAGCAGGTGGACTCTGGGGGAGGGACGTGTCCTCTGAGCCTGGGACCCAGGAGGCCATGAGGCTCCCAGGGGTTCTGGCATCAGGCAGGCCCGTCAGGAAGGGCTTGGGGGCTTCGTTTCCAAAGCCAACCTCTGCCGTTCTTTTCCAGGGCTGTGTCTGGGGTGGATGCTGACCCTGACTTGGTCCACGTGGAGGCCCAGGACCTTGGAGGAGGTAAGCAGGGAGGATGTAGGAGCCGGGCACCCCGAGTGCTCACCCCACGGCAGGCTCGGCCGCCCTTGTCCTTGGCGACTGGCCCTGAACAGCTGACCTCACTGTGTTACGATGTGGCATAATTTTAAATGTGCTTGTTTTCCAGCCAGGGATAAATTGAAGTCAAGGATCTCCGCTCCAGTGGAAAAGTCTATTAAGAAGGCGATTTGTTCTGGCCCCTGAGCACTGAGTGGTTCCCCATCTCTCAGCCCCGATCCCTCCCCTGCACTTGCTGAGTGCCGAGGTGGGGCAGGGACTCCCAGGGCTCCCCCCGCCTCCCGGGGAGATAGGGGCCTTCCTGGCCGATGAGCCCAGGGGCCACACAAGCTATGAGGGAGGTCCTCTCCCGACAGAACCATGCAGTGTTCTAGAACACCACAGCCAGTAGGACCTGTAGGTTGTGCCTTCACTCAACAAACACTGGCTGAGCCCCCTGCAGGCCAGGCCCAGGGCTGACCCTCCTGAGGACCCACAGGTGGACAGGATACAGCCCTGCCCCTTGCCTGGCAGGACTTCCTTGGTTTCTACTGGAGTGCAGACCCGTAAAGGGTCACGCTTAACCTACAGTGGGTGCTGACGAGTGCAAGCTGCTGTCCCCAGCGGGGGGACATACTACATGGAGGGCGGGCTCAGTGCCAGGCACCAGAGTCCTGGCCGTGACTGAAGCTCTGGAGATAGCTCCCAGCCCTCTACATGGCAGCCGGGTTACCCTGGAAGTGACCTCAGCTCGCTCCCTGCACTCAGCATCCTTCTCTGTGGAAGGGGTCCCACACGACGTGCTCAGCCTGGGGCGGCGTGGGTCATCAAGTGGGCGGGGGGGATCCCCTTACCACCTCCAAACCCTTGGCTCTTCCCTGGACACCTGCAGCCCCCACCTGCACGGAGCAGGGCAGTGTTACTGTTGCTTCTGCTTCACTTCTTGGGCTCTGTCATGGGGCCTGGAGCCGGTGCAGACCCCAGCCCTGCCACCCTCCATGCAAAATTCCCGAATCACCCCTCTGCTCCCAGCCACCCTGGTCTGGGAATCCTGCTAGAACCCAGTCCAGCCGAGCTTGGTGGCACAGAATCCCGGCCTTTAGGACCCACTGCACTGGCCACCCCCACCCACCCTCCAGCCAGCCTGAGCTGCTGACCTTTCCCCAAGGTCACCCTGCCCCTGTCATTGCCTCCGTGGGAAGGCTGGGACCCTGTCCCCGGAAGGACGCCACGGTGACATTGCAGGCTGTGGACAGGAGGACAGTCACTCCTGTCACACTGGGGCTTGCTCACGAGAGCCAAGCGTCCACCTCCGTTCTCAGCCCCGTGGTCAGAAACGTCCCCTCGGCAGCCAGAGTGGCTCCAGAGAGTGTTTATGCCACAGAGATTAGCGCGGGCTGCGGGCCAGCCCCTTCCCCACGGCACAGCCTGTCAGCGCCGTGAGAGGTGGGCTCTGTCTTGCTGGCAGTACAGCAGGAACAAGGAGGACCTGAGCATCGTGACGTGAGCGAGCGAACGAGCGGACGAATGCATGCGTGAGTGAGGGGGCAGGTGAGTGAACGAAGCAGTGAGTGGGTGAGTGAGCAGACCGAGGTCCACTGAGGCTGGCCTGGGTTAGACCCCACAGCATGCCCAGCCAGGCAAGCCCACGACAGGACATTCAGTGTTGACCACAGGGAGTGACTGGCCTGTTTAGAGGAGAGATGGATGTGGTTCTAGAGGGAATGGGCTGTGGCACAGCCATGGCTGATTGCAAGCCTACTGTGTGCGGTTTTCAGGGCTGATTGTGAGCCTACTGTGCGTGCTGTTTCAGGGCTGATTGTGAGCCTACTGTGCGTGCTGTTTCAGGGCTGATTGTGAGCCTACTGTGCACAGTTTCAGGGGTTGATTGTGAGCCTGCTGTGCGAAGTTTCAGGGGTTGATTGTGAGCCTACTGTGTGCACTGTTTTCAGGGCTGATTGTGAGCCTACTGTAAGCACTGTTTCAGGGCTGATTGTCAGCCTACTGTGCACGCTGTTTTCAGGGCTGATTGTGAGCCTACTGTGTGCACTGTTTTCAGGGCTGATTGCAATCCTACTGTGTACACTATTTCAGGGGACCCTGCCGGTGAGTTAGGGCACGTCTTTCGGCCCCCAGCCCAGCCCCCTGGCACTCTCTATCCTACCCAACTACCCCAGGCCATGGGCAGGATATGCCCCCAAAGGTGCTGATGTCTCTGAGTACCTGGCTTTGGTCCCTGTGGTTAATTCCACTCCTGCCCACCTATGGAAGAGATGAGTCCCCAGGGAAAAGGCTCCAGGCAGCTCCCCAGGCCCCATCCCAGAAACAGGGCCTGAGGGAATGGGTGTCTCCAGGCAAAGCTGGTGTTTCATTTGCTCAACCATAGAAATTTCAAAAAGGATGAAAGGGTTTGCCTAAATCTAGAGGGGAAAGAACCCCTGAGTCCCGCTCACACCCACCTGTTGATTGGGTGTGAGTGGAGAGACATCTGGAGGGCGGGAGGGGTCCCAGCCGTGACAGGCACTGTGGCCCTGGACTGTCCCTTCCCCGGGTGACCACACACTAGGCCCGGGGAAGGCCAGCAGGTGGGGGCTGTGTGGGGATCTCCTGTCCACCATCTCTGGGGGTCGCTCTGCGGTCCGTCTCCCAGAGGGGGGTCCAGGTGCCCAGGGATGTGCAGGTGTTGTGTCTGCAAGGGCAGAGGGTGCACGGGGCAGAACGTGGGCCAAGTCCTGCGCTCACAGAGCTGTGCTCTCCTGCACGACTTTAGCCCAGGCTCAGCAAACGCTCCCCATCAAGGCCCGCTGCTAAACGTTTCAGCTTGGCTGTCCATGTGGCCTGTGCTGCCCATGACCGCCATAGTGGCATGAAGGCGCTGTGTGTGATGCGCAAAGCAGCAGACACAGCTGTGTTCCAATGAGCCTTTCTTTGGGAAAAGCCTGGGGGCCATCCTCGTGGCCCTGAGCAGACAACTCTCTAACTCCGCTCAGCCTCAGTTTCTGCGTCTAGAAGATGGGACCCCCCCCCAACCAGAGGATGGTCCTAAGGATTCAGAGAGCTCCGCCCAGGAGAGCTCCAGGCCCAGAGCCACCCCCCACTCAGCAGCAGATATAGTAATCACAGGGCCAACCTTCAAAATTCAGACCCACAAACATCCGCGGCAGTGGTTTCAGGACACAGACGGAGCCAAGAAGGCTTAGCACTTCGTCATGTCTGGGGCTGCGTCTGACTCCGTCAGCTAGCGTCTGGGTATTTAGAGATTTCACGCCCCGCCTGGCTGCCTCTTCTCTCCTGCAGGTTTTCGCTACATCACCTGCCAGATCCACAACTGCTCGGATAACACGCAGACGATGCCCTTCGCGGGTCTCATCGACCATGGCTCTCTGACCGTGCAGGATGATTACGTGTTCGTTAAGGTGAGCTTGCTTCTGGGGCTCCTGGAAATTGGCAGGAGGTGATGTGGAATATAAGCCACTCTGGGGAAAATGGAATCACTCCAACAGGAAGCCATAAAATGCTTCCAAGTGCTACTTACTTCAGTTCCTCCTGCCCCTGTGATGAGGCAACCCCCCCAGAACCCCACAGAGCCAGAGCACTGGCAATGGGCTGCCATCCGCTCCTTCTCCCTTTGCCCACCAGGACCCCCCCACGGCTCAGGGCCCCCCAAGCCTGAACCCGTGTTGCTCCGTCTGGCTCTGCTGGCTTTGAGTCGATATGGGTTACCCTGGCCATTGTTCCTGGCTACTGGGCGTCAGCTGTCCACGGCCCAGGGGCCAAGTCCTGCCCCCTGCTGCTCAGACCACAGCTGGGGCCACCCTCCAAAACCGTGTGAGCTGACTGTTCAGAAACTCCAGGGAGCAGCTGGCCATGCCACTTCTTGATTACTTCCACTGATGAGGAACTCGCTCCTTTCAAAACAGCCCACCAGCTCTGAGAGAGCTCAGATCTTTGGAAGCGTCATTACAGCAGTGAGATAAAGTGCTTGCTCGACTCTCATCCGCTGGTCCCTGTTCTGCCCCCTGGGATCCCAGGAGATAATACCACAGGCTCTCGTGGAGACAGCCCCTGGGTGCTCTCTCCACTGAAGGCTCCCCCATCTCAGAGACACTTCATCGCCCCAGCAGAGTGAACCAACACCTCCTGTAGAGCTGGGGCTGGCACTGGCAGGGTGTGTTGCGGCCCCTGTTAGAGCAGTCAGTAAGAGGCTCCTGCCACCGCCAGCCCTGACTCCCAGCCCTGCTCTCATCCTCCTTCACCCACTGCTGACGCCCCGGCTTCCCATCTCTTCTGTGTTTGCACATGCTCTTCCCTGGGCTTGGAGTGCTCATGGCCCCTTCTCCGCCTCCTCTTCCAATACTCTGTCATGTACCCCCTCCTCCAGGAAGCCTTCTTTGGCTTCTATCTACTTCAGACCCGCTGGTTGCCTCCTTGGAGCACTCCTAGCTCTCTCCCTTCCTTCACTGCAGCCCAGGCCACACTGGCATCCTTTACTGTTTACCGTGGACACTGCAGTCTGCAGGGAGGCTGTGCTCCAGGTCTATACTCAGCACCTCCCACTGCATTTCTCAAACATCTGCTGAGTGTTGGAGCGACAATGGCATCAGCTTCTCTGACAATCAATCCCACATGGAGTGTTTTCAAAACATTTTGCTTGGTCCGCCAGCACCCCAGCCTGAGATCCTGGGGACACAGCTGTGGCCGAACGGGCTGGGCTGGTCCTTGTGCAGCAGGGGGCCCTGGATGGGGGTGGGGGCTTGGTTAGAGGTGAGGAAGGCTGGCCAGGCCGAGGGTGGGCCATGGGAGGGGACTCAGGGAGGACTGGGGTGCTGTAAAGAAGCAGGGGCCACTGTGATCGGGCAGCTCAAGGACCAGGTCTAGAAGTGGGGGCTCAAGAAGCTGAGTTGCGGTGGGTGAAGGAGCCACCCCTGAGCTCAGCCTTGGCGGTGCTCAAGCATGATCATGACCACTGTCAGCTCTGTCGCAGAGGCCTGGTCTGCCGCTGGTGACACTGTCTGCGTCAGACCGGGGAGGTGCGTGCCTGGCTAGGCGCTGAGGTCAGGGGCCACAGGCCTCCAGCTCCTGGCCCAGTCCGTCTCCCATCACCTGTTGCACCCTTGCTCCCCTTCCCCTCTCCTTCCCCCCCACTTGTCCCTTCTCCCAAAGAAGCAAATGCCGCCCTTTTCCTGGCTCTTCTATTGTCTCCCATGGGAGACAAGTTACTCCAACTCTGAGCCTCACTTTGCTCATCTGTTAAGTGGAAGTGACCGCAGCTCATGGAGTTGCTGGTTTGGATGCGGATGCACTGTCTTACGTCATACATGTGGCAGTCTCAGGAGCCTTGCCTGTCGTTTTGCTTCTCTTACCTTGTGTTTTGGTGGCACCTTGTGTGACTTGAACTCGCCTTTGTCCTGCCTCTTGGTGGCCCACCAAGCATCCTCACTAAGAGAAGTTCTGGGGAACAGAATTTTCTTTCCCTTGTACTGTAACTCAGATATAGGGAAGCAAAGTGCTGAAAGAGGGAAGGAGATTAGTTCTAACTGAGGGAGGTGGAGGAAGACTTCCCAGAGGTGGGGCATTTGGTATGGGGCTCTGGAGGATGAATAGGAGTCTGTCTAGTTCAGGCAAAGCACATGTAAACAACTTGAAAGGGCATTTTTCACCCGCTGAAATACAATGTGTAGTTTTTCATTCATGAAGATCTGGCTTAACTGGAAATTGAGCCCCTTAAAAAAGTATTTTTCCCCTCCTGTTAGGCAACCACAACAAACCAGACCAAATACTACATCTCTTACCGTCGCAATGAATTTGTCCTGATGAAGCTGCCAAAGTATGCATTGCCGAAGGTAAGAGTGGGTTCCCTGTTCCACCTGGCCCTGAGCTGCATCCTGAGCCTGCACTGACTCGGGGGCCTGCAGGTGCTTGGTGATGGCCGGGTCAGGATGGACAAGAGCAAGGCGGCCATGCTTCCTCCAATGACTCCGCTCCCCCTCCATTTCATCCTTGCGTGTGCCCAGCTTCATCCTGTCCTAGGGGCTCCACGATTCTCCTTCCTCTGCCTGTTTTTCCTTTTCCCCAGACTCCTGCACATGTGATGTTTCAGAGCAATATCTCCTCCCATTGACCCTCCAGGCTGGTCCTGCTCACACCTTACCCGTCTCTTCCCTGACACTCAGACTGTGCGGAAGGCCCTGTGTCCGTCTCCTGCTGTCATCTGGAGTTTCTGGGGCTGGGGCGCAGTTTCTGTTTTATTCACTACTGCATTCCTGCTGTCTACTACGGTGCCTCGTATGCACTAGGTGCTCAATTAATGCTACTTCCTTCCCTTCCTGTGTATGTGTGTATGAGTTGGTCAGTTGTTTCTGACTCTTTGCAACCCCATGGACTGTAGCCTGCCAGACTCCTCTGTCCATGGGATTCTCCAGACAAGAATACTGGACTGGGTTGCCATTTCCTTCTCCAGGGGATCTCCCCGACCCAGGGATCGAACCCGGGTCTCCTGCACTGCAGGCAGATTCTTTATCATCTGAGCCACCAGGGAAGTCCTGGCAAGCAAGAAGGGGGAACATGGAGGCTTCCCAGACCCTGCCCCCGCCCTGTTTCAGAGTGAACTCCACAGTCCCCTCCCTGCTGGTATGGTATTCCAATTTTACAAAGGAAGTGACTGAAGATCAGAGAGGCCAAGTATCCTGTCTGAAGTCACACAGCTGGTAAGAAGCCGAAGCACGTGTCACACTGAGGTCCGGGGTGCGGGGGTCTGAGACCAGCCTCCAGCCACATCCCCCTCTGGAGGATGGTTTCCACTCCATGTGGATAATTCAGAAACACAGACAGAAGCAGCCTTTCCCCACCCACTCACTTACTGAGCATCACTTATAAGCTGGGAACTGACTCTACAGCTGTGAGTCAGACACCCCAAATTCCTGCCCTGGCTGGGTGTTCAGAGGAAACAGGCAGAAAATCAGGCAGACAAATGTGCGAAATAATTGCTGGCTGTGGTGTGTGCTGAAAGGGGATAAGAGGCCGAGCCAGAGGGTGACAGAGGCTGGGGGGAGCTTCTCTGAGCGGGCTGTTTGCTCTGAAGCCCGAAGGCTGGGGGAAAGCCATTCGGGACTAGGACGGTGCAGGTGCAAAGGCCCTGGGGCCAGAGAGGCCTGGCTGGAGGGCAGAGGGTGGGGACCAGGTGAGAGAAGGCAGTCCTTCCTATCACCCAGCTCCAAAGGATGACCGAGGACCTGCTGATATGGGTGGCTTTCATATTGGTGCTAAGTATCCTCACTCGGGGGTCCAGCCCAGGACCGGTGATGAGCCGGGGTGGGAGGTATGCACAAGTCAGGCTGCTCTCAGGGATCATCCCCCAACCCCAAGCCCAGGGTGGGGTGTCCCAAGACCACGTACGGTCTCGTGAGCACACTGCCCTTCCAGGCAGCAGTCTGCTCCCTCTCCATCAAATTCAGGAGAGCAGCCAGATCCCGTGTTCCCACCAACAACGTGGAGAGCTAGCTAACTGAATTTCCTAATCAGATTTTGTTGTTATGCGGTGAATTTGTGACTCTTGCCTCTTTCTTCCACTCAAACCATTTCCATCCTTTTTTTTTTCTTTCCATTAATGGCCCAAGTAACATCATGAAAACAACAGAAATCAGAGCCGAGGGGAACTCACCAAGGCCCCCCCACCTCCTTCCCTTCCTCCCCTCCCCCAGCCCTGTTTGCGTGCCCCTAGTCCCTGGCCCCAAGCCAAAGCGACTTCTGCAGCTGCATCATTGCAGTCACTCCGTCGGCAGCCTGGCTTTCACATGACAGTGTCTTGGAGAATTTTCCCCGAATGATACATGATATCCCCTTTAAATGACCGCAAAACTTTCAACTTGGGAGACCGTACCTTGTTCAGCTAAGCCAGACTCCTGTTGTTTAGACATTTGGGTTGTTTCCATATTTCATAAGTATAAACAGTGCTGATAGGAATATATTTGTGCCCACAGGTATTTCTTTTTTTATTTTCACAAGTTAGTCTAAGAAAAATTTCTGGACCAAGGATATAAATATTTGTGGAACTTAGTTGCTTTCTAAAAGGGTTCCACCTTGCCGCCAGCAAAGTTAGAATAGGCCTGGTTGAACATAGCTTTGCCAGATTTTGCGTTGTATCAATTCTATTTTCCTTCTACTTAAAACGGTATAAATGGCCTCATTCTGCCATTTTAATTCACCTATCTCTGAAAACTAAAATGGGTAAACAGTTTTCATTATATTTGTCAGCATTCTTTGCTTAAATTGTTTACTTGTAGAGATTTTTTAAAAATACTCATGTTCCCTAAGAGAAAAAAAAAAAAAAGCAGGCAAAGGCTATAAACAGACAAAAGAGAGGAAAAATCCAAATGACTACTGATTCTATAAAAACATTCATAAGCATAAAGTGAATGCAAATTTACTTTAAAGTGAAATAGTCTTTTACCTGTAGTATGTTCACATAAAATAAAATCCGTACAGTGTAGGAATAAAGGAGAGAGTGACATCAGGGAAGAGGGTGGGGTGGAAGCACACAGTCTGTCTTCTCACTTAGACAACAATCAGACTGGCACAACCCTCCTGATGTAACGATTTTGGAACTCCTGGTCTGTTCCAAGGCTTGCAGCTTCCAGAGGAAGGCTTGCAGGGTAAGTCATCAACTTCCACAGTTTTGGCTCTTCCCAAGGTAGCAGCTACCCATCTCTCCTGACTCCTCCCTCAGTAACAGGATAGCATCCGTGCACATGTTCCTGGAACAGTGGACACACAACTTACAGGACTCGTGATGCTAATCCTTGGGCACCAGTAGGTCTGGGACTATATGCTCATGATCATGAAGTACTTAATTTCTTCCACTTGGAGGTTGTTTTAGCATCTGTAAAGCAACTCAGGAAATGTACATCAGATACTATTATCTAGGTCCTTCAGATAGGAGCTAAAGCAGAGGATATGGGGGAAGGGTCTGCCCAGGGCTGGCCCCGTGGGGTCTTGCTGATCTTACAGCCAGAGCCTGTTTCCACCCTATCCCCACATTTATTTTCCTTCTTTTCCCTTTTGGAAGCCAACATTTAAGGACAGAGGATGAGATGATCGGATGGCATCCCCGCAATGGACATGAATTTGAGCAAGCTCCAGGAGATAGTGAAGGACAGGGAAGCCTGGTGTGCTGCAGTCAATGGGGTCACAAAGATTCAGACATAACTTAACAACAACAGTTTAAGGATGAGGACATTCAGAAGCAACTGCCATATGGAGGGATTTAAAAAGTCATCAAGCGTGCCCAGGAAAAAGCTCACACTCAGATAAGACTTGAGGAGAACTTCAGTTTACACCTCAGGCTGATTCCTGACACACAGCCTGCAGCTAATAAAAAAAAAAAAAATCCAGCAAACCCTGGGGAGGGGAGAAAATTTGATTTCCAGAGTTACTGCATTATTAGATTCCACCATCCAGTTTTCAACAGCAAAGAAACTACAAGGCAAACAAAGCAAGAACCACCCATTCAAAGGGGGAACACCAACAGAAGTTGTCTCTGAGAAAGGCCAGGTGGCAGACTTACTAGACAAAGACTTTAATACAACTGTCTTCAAGATGCTCAAAGAAATAAAAGAAATGGGGAGGAAGTCAAGAAAACAATGTGCTCATGGATCAGAATTACAAGCATACCTTGTTTTATTGCACCTAGCAGATATTGCATTTTCTTTTTAACAAATTGCGAGTTTGTAACAACCCTGCATGGAGCCAGTCTATTGGGCCATTTTTCCAACAGCATTTAGTTTTTCTCTTTGTGTCACATTTTGGTAAATCTCACAATATTTCAAACCTTTTCATTATTACCATATTCATTATGATCAGTGACTTTTGATGTGACTGCTGTAATTGCCTGGAGCCAACTTAATTGATACACATTATGTGTGTTTCGACTGCTCCCCTGAGCAGCCATTCCCGCATCTTCGTCCTTCTCCTCTGACCTCCCTGTTCCCTCAGACACAACAAAATTGACATTACAATGGTCTCTAGGTGTTCTCATGAAAGGAAGAGTCACGCTTCTTTCACTTTAAATTAAAACCTAGAAATGATTACCCTTAGTGAGGAAGACATGCTGAAATCCAATATAGGCTGAAAGTCAGGACTTTTTCAGCAAACAGCCAGGTTGTGAATTGAAAGGGAAAGTCCTTGAAGGAAATTAACAGCGCTACTCCTATGAACACATGAACAAACAGCCTTATCACTGATATGGAGAAAGTCTGAATCATCTGGATAGAAGATCACACCAACACACATTCCATTAAACAAAGCCTGAACCCAGAGCAAAGCGCTGCGCTGCGCTAAGGTGCTCAGTCATGTCCGACTTTTTGCAGCCCCAAGTTCCTCTGTCCATGGGGATTCACCAGGTAAGAATACTGAGGTGGATTGCTCCGCCCTCTTCCAGGGGATCTTCCCAACCCAGGGATCAAACCCAGGCCTCCCACACTGCAGGCGGATCATTGTACCACCTGAGCCACCAGGGGAGCCCAAGCAAAGCGCTAACTCTCCTCGATTCTATGAAGGCTGAGAGGTGAGGAAGCTGCAGAAGAAAAGTTTGAAGCTGTCAGAGATTGGTTCATGAGGTTTAAGGAAAGAAGCCATCTGCATAACATCACAGTGCAAAGTGAAGCAGCAAGTGCTGATGTATTGACAGAAGCTGCCACAAGTTATCCAGATACAGCTAAGATCATTAATGAAGGTGGCTACAGTAAACAATCAATTTTCATTGTAGACTTACAGCCTCTGCTGGAAGAGGATGCCATCTAGGACTTTCATAGTTAGAGAGGACAAGGCAATGCCTGGCACCAAAGCT